TGTTCCGCGTTTTATTGTCATGTGATCTATTATGCTGCAGTCCTCAGGAGCTATACAGAATTATAAATAACAGAATAATGTATAAATTCGTTTCATTTTCCATTTGAGATTGTTTTACCAATTTTATAGACACAAATTTTAGATCTAGAGGTAGAATGCCACTAAGTTGATGAAAAGTGTTTCTAGGCTGATCATATTTTATCTACTTTCTTTTGAAAAAAAAAAAAAGAAAAGAAAAGGAAAAAAAAAGAAATCGAAGCACCATGAAGGAAGTGGTTGTCTTTGGTGAAACTGAATATGTGTATAGCTCATACACAGATAGTAAAAGGAATAAAAAATCAAGGTCATAATACCTGTTCTTGGCTCACAATCACCCATTGACAAATTAATAGTTGATCGAACTGCCATTGGCGGCAGTGCATGCTTGAATTCGTCGAGGCAAGGAGTGGTAGAGGTTCCTAATGTCATCCTGTGACACATTCTACCAGGCATTCATCAGTTGTCGCTTCAGATTTACGATATTTTGTGGTACCCGAATGTGGTGGCCTACCATGTCCCATACGTGCTCGATTGGTGAAGGTCTGGTGACCTTGCTGGGCAAGGGAAAGTATCAACCGGCATGGACACAGTCCAGAGATATGCTAGTGGTATGTGGCCTGACATCATCTTGTTGGAAAATAAATATTGAATTTTGTTGATTACTAAATTTTAAAGCAGTATTACCATTGTATTAAATTATTTAAATCGAAACATTGGTTAAGCTTTTTTTTTTTTTATGGGATGAGAACATGGGTTTTTCATTCAGGGGAATTTCCTCGAAGGGCTTTTGTAGCTTCAGGGCCGACTGATTATCTACCTGTTAGGTATTTAATATTAGTTTATGGTTATAAAAAAAAACTATCAAGTTCGGATATGAATATTTCCTTTGTTTTTTTCACAATAAAACGTAATATATTCTAAATTTATTTAATAACTATTTAAATATGAACATTTCCTTTGTTTTTTTCACAATAAAACATTAATATATTCTAAATTTATTAAAAAACTACTAAGTTTAGATATGAACCTTTCCTTTGTTTTTTTTTTCACAGTAAAACATATGAATATATTCTAAATTTTTTGAGCTTTTGGAAAGAGGGGTGGTGCAATGATCATCTAACAGTGATGAAAAGGATACATCGGAGGGGGGGGGAGATTGAGATCCACTTGAGCTTCTTTCATGGAGAATATTCCAAACCTTTCTGATTTTTCCTTGAAGAATGAGTTCTTGAAATCTCTTGAGATTTTTAATTTTAAATTAAGTGCCAGTAAATTAACAGTGGATTTCGATGTATGGCAGCTTGCTTTGTCTTGATGCTGTTCTACTGATTGAGGGCACTGTGTGTAAAGAGAAGGTATTTCATATTTGAAAATTGGGTATAAAATATGTTCCTGATAATATGTGGAATTGATCTTAATATTTTTCTCTCCTCTATTTATTTATTTAATTTTCTCGCTATTCTGTTTATTTTTAATTTGTCATTATATGAAAAATCAGCAACAATCATAAGCCCTTTTGAAAACTTTCTTTAGATTCTTTGAACCATGTTTAAGATTTTTTTCCTCCTCTTTGATGATAATAAATGGATATCTTTTTATTGCAGTTATTTAAACACACCTAAGATTCATCTATTGTAACAACATTTTTCCATCTTTGTCCGGATAAATGTTTCTCACTAAGAATTCTGCGTTTAACGATATGACCAGGAGAAAGACGATGCGCGTTATGACTTTTCTCCTATTCAAGATTCAAATGAGCATTAATTAATACCTTTGTTTACTGTTGACACTGAGTATTTTAATGATTTTGCAAGTGTCCTTAGCAGATTTTCATTTTTCATTACCTTTGCCAACATTCCGTTTTTTCCTTGGATATATATTTAGTAGAATTTTTCCACCTTGACGCCAAACTTTGACGCTATTTTTCTTTCTTGGGGATAGTGTTACGTATCTTAGTTTTAGATACCGAAAAATCATGGCTTTCACAGCCTTTTTTAATAACTAAGATACGAATAATTTGCTTTGAAAAGAGCATAAACATAGCCTTCCATTCATTGCCTCATTAAAAGCGCTATATTGCATGAAAACAAAACTTTCGAGAAGCAGACGATAATTTATACTTTCAAAAATATACTTGCGCTTAAAAACAATTAAAAAAAAATTTTTTTTTTTTTTTTAAAGTAAAGCAAATTCGTCTAGAAAATGTGCGAACTGCTTGTATAGCTTCTTTTGATACATGGAAAATGAAAACTATCAGTGTTAAGCGTTTTTATTTCTTCAAGGAAATAGATCTGTGAATGTACTAGGGATATAAATAATTATTTACAGTTTAAAATGTAAGCTACTGAGGTCTTCTAAACTTATCCAGTAATTATAATCAGTAGATTCTTTATACCGTGTAATTAAAATAGTGGAATAAGCAATTTCCTTTTGTAATATATAATTGGTAAAAAGTAGTCACGAATTGCAAAAGTGTTCAACTATGCAATAATGCAGTTTTATATGTTGTACTAGACAACCGTCGAAGTGTATTTTTTTCCCTTAAATAACGCCTCTCGTCTGAAATTAGTGTATTTTCCCTAGATAGTTTGTTTCTGGCAAGTATGTCTGTTTGTATTAAGCAGTCTAGACGAAATGGCTGGGCCGCAAGCACATGTTGCAACACAGTACTTCGGCCTTGTTTACGATTTCTGTGGAGAAGAGCTTCAACTGTTTCATGTTTCTTTTCTTTGCTCTTTAAGATCACTCAGTTCACTAGTCAGATTTCGCGTGTCATTGCAGCTGTATTTCCTCAATTTCTTTGTGTATGCGAAAAGAAACAAGTCCATCCCTTTTTCCGCAGCGGAGCAAAAATGAGGAATTTGTATTCAATGGAGTCCATGCCTGTAACTGTTCATTCTCTTTCCTTTATAAAAGAAATATCTCGGGGACGGGCCGAGAATTATTTTGCTTTTTGTTTTGAATAAAAATCGTCTTCACATTTTAATTTCTTTTAAAAGTACTTCTTATGTCAAAGTAACTGAAACTAGAAAGTCTTTAGGTTGCCCTTGAGCATGCTGTCTTTGCACATTTACTTCCTCCAGCCTTAGACAATTGGAAAGTTCCCTAATGGAGGAATGGGCATCCGCAGTGCTTGTTCACTTAAGTGAAAGCATGGCTGATCGTTGTAAATTTTGTGCGAAGGTCCAGGTTTGTGCCATGCGTCATTAGTGTATGTTTTGTTTGTTAATGACCGAAATGTGGCGACATATAATTTGTGAGAATTAAATGTTGTTTACATCTTTGTACATAATGCTTGCTTTCTTCCATGCATAAGCACATTTGTTCAGGTGCAATTTGGTGTTAATGAAAGCTTTGCTTTTCCACTTTTGTTGATTTTTTTCATTGTGTTCCTAACTTATGGCCTCGGCTGAGCAGTAAAGTAGCAACACTGGTAGTTTGACCTGGATTAAATTCCACGGGAACAGGTTAGATGCACGGACATTTTCGTCAGTCAATTTCCCTTAGAAAGTCCACCCTTTTCGTAGGTTGATAGTCCTCATGTGCTTTGCTATAAACACATAACCAATCATCCTTTTATTGTTAATGTTCAGTTTAAAATTTAAATTAAAAAATATTTTTAAATTGAGTGAAACTCAATCTTGGTTGATCCATGATTTGAATGAAGTGCGTTTTGTATTTGGAGAAATGATCTGATGTATGAAATTTTGCTTACATATGCTGTCCCAGAAGAAAAGATGGAAAAATTCGAGGTAAATTAATATTCAAAGTTTTATTCGAGCAATGCATTGCATAAAGATGATTATAAATATATTCAATTTAAAATATGAAAAAAAAAATCAGTTAAAAGTTTTTAGATATAAATTTAGCAAATTGATAAAAATAATTTGTTTTCCACTTTATGTCAAGGCAGTACATATTCAAAGTACTTGAGCTTAGTTTGACCAGTTTATCTATGTCACTGATTATGTACTGCCCTTTTAGGCAGATTTACAAACTAATTGTGGGTAAAATAATCTCAAGGTAATAGATTTGACATGAAGTGGAAGACAATTTTTTTTATTTGTTTAATTTTTTTTTTTCCAATACATTTTTATTATGAGTATAACACACTAGTTCATATTTAAAATAATTAAACTTTTTGTTTAAAAAATTAATTAGGTTACAAAGCAAAGTGGTTGAATAACCTAAAACTTGAAAGGGACAGGCATTTTTGCCTAGAATCACATTTTTTAAGATTTATATCTAAAAATTTTCAAATATTTTAAACTGTAAAAGTATATTTAAAGCTGTCTTTATGCAATTCATTGCTCAAATTAAACTTTGAATAATTATTTATCTTGAATTTTCTTTTATCTAGGGCAGGATATGTAAGCAAAATTTGAAAATAGGCCATAAGCATTTCTTCTCAAAACTGAGAGATTACAGTTTAAATCAGTAAACTGGAATGCTTATTTCATATGAAGTTACACAATATTCACTGTCATATTCAGATAAGAAATAGATTTCTTTCTTTTAATCATTGCTGAATTAATCTTCAGCATAAAATTCAAAATTGAATTTATTTTTATTGTTAAATTCAAATAAGAAATAGTTTTGTAAATTGAATTAAAAATATTGTTTTATATTTTTATTAACAGAATGAAATGTTAGAAAACATAGAAATTCCTGTACATTCATTTTAAAATAAAAATCTATATTAATTGAAAAGCAAAATAAACTTTTGTCATTACTAACATCTGTTACGTTATTAATTTTTTGCCAGTCTAAGAATCAAAGAAAGGAAAATGTGGTTTATTTATCTGTATATTTTTATATGATATAGTACATTTCAGTTTCTGTGTAATATGATGTTCTGACTTTCTTATGACTTCATGAAACAGTAGTTTTAAATTTTACTTTTCACATGTATGATTAAGAAAATTTATTTTTTCATTATTTAAAACTTTCTCTTTCTTTAGCTATGCACCAAATCCTCCTCAAATGTCTGCTGGTATGCCAGGAGCTATGCCTAATACTGGTCACAATACTGGGAATGATTATCAGACCTCCCATTCTGCATTAAGTGCTGCTGCACTCGTAGCTGCTGCTGCAACAGCAACCGCTACAGCTACAGCCAGTGTTGTAGCGCTTCAGGAACGCCAGCAAGGCTCCAATGTTAATAATCAATATGGGCAGGTTAGTATAATTCATAATGTTAATAATTTTAGTGTTAAATGGAGTGCAGGCATGGCTTAGATTCTTATGAGCATTTTTAATATGAAGCAGTTTAACCTTTTACTGTTCACTTTTGTCAGTATATGCAGAAGTGTCGCATATTGTTCCTCACATGATTTTCTTGGATTGAAATCTCATAGAATTTACACAATGTGTAAAACCTATAGTCTGTTACTTTGAAATATGCACTTTCAAGCCATTTTCCCTTCTGGTTTGCTTTGTAACCATGATAATTGCTTCAGAAGATGGTCAAATCCTCTTATTTCCTAAAATCCCCTTTGATGGCACATGTTATGATTGTAAAATGAGGAAAGGTTCATTACCACCTTCAAGTGCTTATTTTAAAGCAAATGCATAGTAAAAGGGCTTTATATTTTAGATGTTACTACAAAGACTCTTTCAGAAATAGTGTATATGTAATTAGTTTATGAAATAATCATGTTGAAAATTGTGTAATATTAAGGTAATGATGTTAAAAAGTATAATGAATATTTCTGAAAAAGTGGTATTGTAACTAAGTACTGGTTTTCTCTTCTTTGTGTTTTAGTAATATTGCATTCATTTTGCTGTAATTTTATAACAGGCTTTTTACAGACAGATTTGTTTTCTCAGTGAATGTTTTCTATGTTTCTTCTAACACTTGTTCGGCTCAGTCTCCGGAAATCTTCCATGTTGCTCTTTAATGCGACTGTATGGAAGTGTAACCCATTTCTGTTCAATTATAATCCCATTTTATAGCCATTTATCACTTTCTATGTAAAAGTCAGGCTCGAATTCTAAAAACAGCAACTCGATTAGAGGCTCCATCATGTCTGTTTATCTAGTTTCTTTATAAGAAAAATATACTTATGAAAAACTGTAAGATGATTCTAGATCCTCTAAAATCTAAAACAGATATCTGGTAGTTAAAACTGAATTATGCCTCCTTCACCAAGTAAGGTCTACAGTAGATATTAAAGTAGAAATATAAATAAACTAATTAAGTATAAATTGATTGATATATGTATTTCCAGCTTTTTTCTTTCCATGGGTGCTATGCAGATATGTTGTGCTTATGCAATAGGATAGAATATATTTCATATTATACTGAAATTGAATGGTTTCTCAGTTTTAAAATGTTATCATTGAATCATTAGAACATTTAAATCTTTTCTTTTTAAAATGCAGAATGCTGAGAAATACATTTATTATCATGCAAAATATTTTTAAATGCACTTGTTTTGTAAATATTTGGCTGACTGCAAGACTTTGTCTTTCCTTCCCTAACACATGATGAATCAATTTTTAAAACCAAATTGTCAGTCAGTAGTTATACTTTTATTTTCCTGTTTAGCAATACTAAGAATGTAAATGCGATAAATTTTCTTATTTTATAACTCTTAACAAAAAATTTTTTTCTTATTACCAATTATCAAACCTCTCTGGTTTAAAATTCTTTGAAATTTAAAAGTATTGCATTTCTTTCATACATATTCAAAAATTAATTTTTATCTCTGCAGTTGCATCTGAACATTCATATTGCTTAAGTTCTCTGAAAAAGGACTGTTGTGTCAAATTATTAAAAAAGAAAATAGGGGGAAAATCAGAATTTTCCAATTATGATCAATACACAGTTAAATTTCAATAAATAATATTTGCATCTTAAATTAATGTAAACACAGAAGTTGTTCAGTTATGAAAAAGCTGAAATTTGCAAAGGTATCAGAAGTTCTAAACTGTTTATTGTAAGGTTTATACTAAGCTTAAGATAGAATGAAGATTTTTTTAATGTAACGTTGAGTTTTAGATGCTAAACCGTTAGAAATCAAATGTAGAATAATTCAGTTTTTAATAAGTATACTTGTGCTCTGTACTTTATTTTAGTTTTGTCACTATGTAAAGCTCCAAATAGCCAAGGATTTTGTGTGGAAAACCAGAAATTCTCCAAAATTTTATGAGAATGAAGTATGTTTTCTTCATTATAGGTACAAATTCCTCTGCCACTTTGCACTGGATGATTTTCTGATGTACTGCATTAAGTCTTTGTATTGAAAATGTGCTGGCCACTTAAAGGATTAAAAAATTAAGTTATGCATATTTTTCAACATGGATAGTCCGATGTGAATGTATAACTAGAGGAATATAAATGTTCCTTGTTCCTTATTTCTCGGTAATAAACTCAAATCTTAGCTGACAGTAAGACACAAACGGTGCCATATTTAAAAAAAATTTTATCTGTGTTTTTTTAATGTGAAATTGTTTACATTTTATTAAATTTGTAAAATTTGATGTCTTATTAAACAGAAATTCTAAATTCATTTTTCAGGTACCAACTATGCAAGCTTCACCGTATCAGGCGGGTTATGTGCCTGGCCCTCAACGAATGCCAACTAATCAGCCAATGAACAATGGTATGAGTGCAAATATGGGTAACCCAATGGGGGGCTCATTAAATACAATGACTAATCATATGAACAATTCTATGATGAATATGTCAAACTCTGTGTCTCCAATGTCCATGAATGGACCTATGGGTATGAACTCTACTGCCATGAATAAATCCATGGCAGGTGTTGGTGGTGCTGTACAGCCTCCGCATGCATCTATGTATGGCAGCAGCTCTCCGGGTATGATGTCACAAACAAGGAATAGGGTGGCACCATATCCCTCACCTCAGCAACATATGGCCCAGAAGAGGCCTACACAGTACAGTCCTATGGTGCAGCAATATGGACCAGCTGGTATGCAGCATTATGGAGCTAATACCCAGCATAGTTTTAATGCTACACAGGTATTTTATTTTCATATTTCAAATATTATTTCATAAGAACTTCGACTTTCAAATTTATAATAATTGAAATGCCTTGGTGAAAGTTAATGATGCTACGAGGTGTATTCGGAAACTAAATACCGTTTTGGAAAAAAAAAAAAAAAAGTAAAACAATTTTTTCGAATTGAATTTTATTTTTACATGAAAATACATGTCTTAAACTATTTTTCAACTCAGTTTCCGCCAATGATCAAACACTTGTCATAGCGGGTGACCAGTTTTTGTATACCATCGTCAAAGAAACTTCCCGCCAGTTTCAATAACCATGACTTCACAGCATTTTTCGTGTCATTGTCAGATCCAAAGCGCTTGCCACCAAGCTCTTGCTTCATGTGCAGGAACAAGTGATAATCGGATGGCGCCAAGTTCGGGCTGTACGGCGGGTGATCGAACTGCTTCCAATGAAACTGTCGAATTAACGATTGAGTGACACCAGCAGTATGGGGCCGAGCATTGTCATGGAGCAACACAATATCTTTACTGAGCATTCCTCTTCGTTTTTTTTGAATGGCATGCCTTAGTTTTGTTAAAGTCTCACAATATCGTGCCACATTAATGATTTCACCTCTGGGAAGAAATTCAGTAACAAAATGCCTTTCCTATCCCAAAAGACAGTGCACATGATTTTTTGTGATGACATTGTCACTTTGAACTTTTGTTTTTTCGGAGAATGAGTGTGTCTCCACTCCATCGATTGTTGTTTCGATTCTGGTGTGAAATGACACATCCAAGTTTCATCACCTGTCACAATTTGGTTTAAAAATTTTTCTGCCTCATCACTGTACCGCGTGAGAAATGTCAGGTCACTACCAAGTCGCTTTGTTTTGTGAACATCAGTGAGCATTTTTGGAACCCATTGGGAACACAGTTTGCGATAATTCAAGTGGTCAGACACAATTTCGAACAAAACAGTACGGGAAATTTGTGGAAATGCCTCTGAAAGAGTTGTCATTGTGAAGCATCTGTTCTCATGAATTGCTTCATCAACTTTCCTTACCAAATCATTGGTGACAACAGAAGGCCGACCACTCCGAGCCTCGGCGTGGACATTAGTTCGACCTGCATTAAACATTCTTACCCACTTTCTCACGATTCCATCACTTATCGCGTATTCACCGTAAACTTCTGTAACTTGACGATAAATTTCGGCCGGTTTAACATTCCTCGCGTTCAAAAATTTAATCACGGCACGAATCTCACAGTCAGCGGGAGAACTAATTGTCTTAAACATTTTGAATGTGCACAGCAAACTGAAAACATAACATAAAGCAACCAAAATGGCGACAATTGAAAGTCAGTGAACAAGAAAGACTAGTGCGCATGTGCGGGACGCCTACCACAGCACTGCGACGGCGCTAGAATGAAACGGTACTTAGTTTCCGAATACGCTACATACATAAAGTATTGCTGAAGTAAGAATTCAAATTATTAAGTATTGTAATTATGATTTCTGAGCATTCACCTGCATTCCTGATATATTTTGCATGTAATTTAAAGTATCTAAGCAAGTAAATTAATCACATTGCATATCAGTATCGTTGTTAATGATGTTGGGAATGATTCTATAGAATTTTTTATGCTAAGTTTCATATCATACATCATAGCTTTTAGTCATGGCTAATGCGCAACTGCCAACACTTTCGGTTTGACTCGAAGACTTTCACCATAGCTATTGATCTTCTGATGTATCATAGAATATCTTGCTTTTTAATTTTTACTAAGGAAAATATTTTCCAGAAATGAATGAAATTTATTAAATTATTAAAACTTGAAATGTGCTCTACTGTAGATAGTCATAGAACTTTTTGTGACAATTAAACTAGTATTTAGTAAGGTAATACAGTCAAAAGTCATTAATTCGGACACCCATAATCCGGAATGATCTATAATCCAGACCTCAAAGCTAAAAACTTTCTGCGCATGCGCCGCGCTGACACATGCGGATAGGCGTTTACGCGTGCGCGTAAGACCTTTTATGTCTGCGCAAATGCGTGGGCGCAAGTGCAGAATACGTGTTCGCGTGCGCGTTTTATGTATAACGGACGGAATAAGCTAAAATTATCTAATTATCTATTTCAGTTAATGTTGATGATTGTGTTGTTCCTTAATTTTCGAATTGGATCCGGCTTATTATTTTTTTGCAGACTGTAAGAGCAATGCTATAAAAGTAAACTTGAACTTTCGATTATATCAAATAGAATTTTTGATGCTGGAGCTCTCAAACGATCTACAAAACTAAAGTATGTTTCGATGTCCATCAAACAAAAAGTGGAATTGCTGCAAAAAATGTATAAAGACATGAAGAAGGTGACAGAGAGGTTAGTGAAAACGAAAAAATTTCGATTGACAAGTTAGTCGGTATTCTCGGCACAGCAATTACGGGACTTGAACAGCGGAACTTCGTAACTGAACAAGAAATTATGTCTGTTTATAGAATTAAAGAGAAAGTATTATCACATAAAACGAAGCAACTTAAACAACTTACATTGAAAGAAATGTTTAATAAAGTAAACAAATAAATATTAAGCTTTTTTTTGTAAATTTTGATACCCTTTAGATCATAATTGTTCTTTATTTCATAAATTACGGTTTCATATTTTTAATTTTAGAATTTCTGCATGCCATCTTATGAGATTTAAACTGATGATCCATAATCCGGAAGAATCGATAATCCGGAATCGCCGAAGTCCCGACGAGTCAGGATTAACGACTTTTGACTGTATTTGTATTTAATTTTGTTTTTATCATTATATAGAACATTACTTTGTTTTATAAAAAAACTTTCCTTCACCATTCAGGATTTTTCCCGGTATAAATACATAAGTAAATTACACAATGAAGTTTATCAAAGAACATAAAATTTAGGTTAGCTGCTGTATAAATCACTGCACATTTATGAATTTGACTCTTATCAACCGAAAAATCTGGCTGCATGGGGTTTTGTGATTTTTATCCCTGTTTATCTGTATTATATGATAGTTTTGAAAAACTGATATATATAGTTTTGAAAAACTGATATATATGACATAACTAGACAATCTGCTTTTTAAATGTTCGTATAATTTATTGTTATGGCCTGGCTGCAAAATCTTCTCTATATCCATTTTATCTATGAAATGTGCACTGTTGTTTAAATAAATAAGTTGAAAGCTCGGCATTGTATCATTTGTGTAACCAATGCCAATGATTTAAAAATTTCGGAGTTCCTATGGTTCAAAACCATTTACCTCCACATCAGAATTACTAAAAGCGAGCAGAAATAAGAAAAATTTGGCATAAGTGATTTACTTGATGCACACTAGAGGGAGCCACAGGCTCGAGAAAGTTTAGGGATAGAGGTGAGAAATAAAAACTTAAGTTTCATAATTTTTTTATAAGTTTTTAGGTTTTTTAAAAATTTTTTTGTATTTTATATTTTATACTTTTTTTGGTTTTTTATAATTTTTTATACACAGTACAAACACTAAAGCAAAAAGCAGAAAGTGGATAGGAAAGATTTTACGATTAATAGGCTCATTGGCATGTGGCTTGTGTTGGGGAGTGCAAATAATTATTGAGATCGCGATGAAAATATTCTTAGGCAGATTTGAAATCTGCGGGAGATGTGATTCTTAAGTAAACAGATTGATAACTTTGCTTGAAGATCTTGATAGTGGTAGCAGAAGATGTAATAAGCAATTATATGGCAGCTCGCTGAAGAGACGTCCTTCCTTCATGGCGCGGGAGCTGGTACGAATTAATTATATGAATTAAATGGGCCAAAACGTCAAGTCGTATGAGCTTGATAATAATTCCTATATGCCAAGTCCTATCAAATGCTTTGGCTATGTCAAGAAATAAAGCGCCAGTAAGCATTTTGTTACGAAACCCTTCGTGAATGAACTCCACTGTCCTCAGCAGCTGGTGCGTGGTGCAGTGTTTTGCTCGAAATCCAAATTGTTCATCAATCAGAACGTTGTGATTTCGGAGAAAATCATTCAGGCGTTTAAGTAACACAAACTCGTATATCTTAGATAACGAGGATAGGAGGCTGATAGGTCTATAATTTTGAGGGTTAGAAAGGCTTTGGCCTGGTTTTGGAATAGGCACAATAAGTGCTTGTTTCCAGCTTTGAGGAAAATAGCAATGCTGTATCATAAAATTTATAAGCATTACTAAGAAAAATAGATAGTTGGTGGGTAAGTTTTTAATCATACGATTAGAAATAGCGTCCATACCAGGGGCTTTTTTGGGTTTGAGCTTGGTAATGTATTCACTTACCTCGCTCATGGATGTATAGTGTATTTCTCTCGCGAAGGGCGAGGAGAGGAAACGTTCAACATCTTGTGGGAAAGAACTTGCGCTGTTCGCAAAAATTCCTTCATTATGTGGTGTAAATTGAGTTTGAAGAGAATCCGCAATTAATTCGGATTTCTCAGCGTCTGTGTGAGCCACCGCTGCGTCCGTAGCTAAGGACGGAATGTTAGATTTGTGTTTGCGTAGGCGGGCTGATGCGCGCCAAAGACTGTTATCATTGGTCGTTAAGGACTGAATGTAATTCGTGTATTGTGATTGGAAGAACTGGTCACATGATGCCTTGATCTCATTTTGGAGAGTACGGAGTTGAATTTTTAAGCCAGGATTTCTATTTCTTTGCCAAAGTCTCCGTACTTTATTCTTTTCTTTAATTTTGAGTTTAATTTCTTGAGGTATTTTACGAAAATTGGGTCTGAGGGTGGGTTTTGATACTTCCTTATAAGTATCAGTTAGGGTGTTTGTTAATTGATCTACTGCCTTGTCAATATCATGGCTGGATTTAATTTCGAGGGAGGGTATGCTTTAGAGTTAATTTAAAGCGTTTAATTTAAAGCGAAAATTGTCCCAGTTTGTAGAGACGAGTGCCGGAAAATTTTGAGTAAAAATGGTACAGCTAAGGTCCATGGTTACGGGGTTGTGATCTGATGATAAACAGTTTTCAACAGTCACTTGATATCCAAAAGGGATGTTTCTAAAGAGTGCCAAGTCAATAAAAGAGGGGGCACCCCGTGAACCATATCTAGTGGGGGAATCCGGCGCAATGATTTTAATTTGGGCGCACTGAGCCCATTTTAGTAGGCCACGACCAGCAGGGTTTGATCTATGACAACGCCAATGCTGGTGGTGACAATTTAAATCACCAGCTATGATAAGATTATTTGAAAAATTGAGCAGTTTATTAAAATCGACCACAGGAAAATTTCCACCTGGTGGAAGATAGGCAGAGATCATGACTAAGGATGGCGAATTTTGAATAAAAATTTCAATGATTGTTGCTTCGAGTTTGCTCATATTTGGAGTGTCAATTCTGCGATGCGGGATTGAGTTTTTTATGTAAATACAAGTGCCACCATGATAAACATCACGTGTATTCGAAGCTTGTCTGTCATTTTTATAAAGTGCATAATTTACAAGCTTGGGAGCTCTCCCTGGCTGGAGTTTGGTCTCTTGGACAAAAATGATATCAAAATCCTTCTCTTCTACATAGTCTCTAAACTCATGAAATTTGGAAAGAATGCCATTTGCATTCCAGGTGCATAGTTTAAGATTTTTCAACCCTTTCAAAGTATTGAATTTTAATGGATGTGGGAATCAGAGAATTGGAGAGTGATATATAGCTCTCAAAGATGTAGTAGGGCCGCGTCAGCACCAGATGGAGCCACTCTGAGCTGCGGTAAGGCGTTTTTGAATGCCAAAAGTAATTTGCTCTGGTCAATACCAGGCTGGTTAGAAATTTGGATTATAGCCAAAAGGATTTCGGTGCAATTTAGATTCGAATTTACTCCAGTGGGGACCGATAAATTTGGAATAAGTGGGGGTGCAGTCTGTTGCATACCCGTAAGGGCAGCAGAGTAGGATACTCCAGGACGAGTATTATTTGCACTGGGAGTGTGTGCAGCCGGCAGTGTTGGAAATGAATTGTGTTGTATATTAAATTTGTTCGTGTTGCCAACGGTCTGACTGGGTTTTGTACTTGGCTTTGGTGGTTGACGATTTTTGGATCCAGGGAATCTTGGACAGGATCTCCAGTTTGCTGCGTGGCTCCCGGAACAGTTGGCACATTTGTTGGGTTCTTCGAAGGGCTTGGTGCATTCCTTCGCCTGATGCGGACCAGCGCATCTGACACATCGTTGGGGTAACGTACAGACCTCCGAAGAATGAAAGAATCCCTGGCAACGCCAGCATTGTGAGGGACCTTTCTGCCCTTTGAAGTGTTCCATCACCACTTCTGTGCCAAGGAGTTCGGTGACTGAATATATTTCTGATGCTTTGAGGCTGTTATGTATCTGGAGATAGAAGAGTGGCATAGGCATTTTTGTCTTGAATTTTTTCAGCTGCGATATCTTATGGATCTTAAAACCAAGTACTTCGACCGCAGTCTGCACAACGTTGATCGGTGTGTTGGAGGGTAATCCCCTAATGACCACTTTGAGTGGTCTGTCCGATTTTAGTGTGTGAGACTTAAATTGAATGTTGTTTTCGGTGAGAAATCTAACGACTGTCCGATAATCAGTTTCGTTAGTGGTGTTGAGGCGTAGAAATTCGATGTCTTGTTTGGATTGGACAGTCGGTGCGTGTCTGCGTAGCTGATTCAGTAAAAAGAACCAATCAGCACGCGGTTTAATGAAGATGGGTGGTGGTGTCTGAGTTTTAGGTGTAGTAGTTTCAGCCGGCTGCTGCGTTAAGTTTTCTGTGGTTTCTGTGACGTTTTGAATGTTAGTGTAAGAGTTTGTAATTATTTGTGTAACCATAGATATCTTTGTTATGTTGTGTAATGTGATAGTTAAGTTCCTAAAATATGCCATGTTATACTGAATTTCATTTGGTTGCTAAAAGAAATGTTTTTATTAACCCTATAACTGGCAAATGATGAAAACACATGTTGCCACCCCAATTAAAGAATTAAAGCAAAAAGTAAAAGACATAAATACAACATAATTTTTCTTTCATATCACTGCTAATCATCGCTAAATAAAGGTACTTTCTTTTTAATGAATATTCAGATCTAAACTTTTTTTACAGCAGCACCTTAATTCTACTTTTGAGGGGGGGGGATTTAATTTTAGCAGAAAGAACTTTTAAGTTCTTTGAATGAAAATAAGTAGTATACATTGAGCTTCTTTTTGCAGAGGGATCCTGATTTGGGAAATGTATCTCAATTTATGCAGCAAAGGGGGCAAAATTAATTAATTTCTTTTCTGGTCATTTAATTTTTTTTTTTTTTTCCTGCAACAATATTCTATTAACGGAGCACCAGTCACCAAATGTATGTCAAAATGGCAAATGTAATAACCTGTTTATTTCATATGAATAGTTGTGAAGTGAGTAATGTGTACAATGCTAAGGCTTGTGCAGTGCCAAATTTACGCAATTTTTAAAAGTGAAAATAAATTGCTGTGTAAATGTTTTTACATATGTTAACCATTGTATACATTAAACATTATATGGTATATTGCTCGTAGTGCAAATTAATCCCCCCCTGGGCACTGAGTGAGTAGAAAAGTATCTTTTCTGGTAATGGTTTCTATAAATATGTTTGTTTTAATATATTTTGATACTAAGGTATCAGCATCTTTGACGTAAGCATTTGGTTGTGACAATTTCGTTTATTAAAACTGTTGAAGAACGAAATAGTGTTTAGGAATATTCTGTTATAGGAGGAATTCTCTCGAATTCATAGACCCACTAGTGCTGGAGCAATAAAATAAATAAAATACCTGAATGCTGATAGTGTGAGTCAGGTTAAGATCCTTGCGAACAGGCTGGCTGCAAGAGAGTTTTCATAGTTTTCTCCCTATGTTACATGAATAAGAGCCAGTTTCTCATAGAAGACTTCCACAAAGCCATCCCTTCCCTTAAGTTGATATAATTTGTGTACTTTTCAGTCACTATTAACGGAGCACCAGTCACCAAATGTATGTCAAAATGGCAAATGTAATAACCTGTTTATTTCATATGAATAGTTGTGAAGTGAGTAATGTGTACAATGCTAAGGCTTGTGCAGTGCCAAATTTACGCAATTTTTAAAAGTGAAAATAAATTGCTGTGTAAATGTTTTTACATATGTTAACCATTGTATACATTAAACATTATATGGTATATTGCTCGTAGTGCAAATTAATCCCCCCCTGGGCACTGAGTGAGTAGAAAAGTATCTTTTCTGGTAATGGTTTCTATAAATATGTTTTGTTTTAATATATTTTGATACTAAGGTATCAGCATCTTTGACGTAAGCATTTGGTTGTGACAATTTCGTTTATTAAAACTGTTGAAGAACGAAATAGTGTTTAGGAATATTCTGTTATAGGAGGAATTCTCTCGAATTCATAGACCCACTAGTGCTGGAGCAATAAAATAAATAAAATACCTGAATGCTGATAGTGTGAGTCAGGTTAAGATCCTTGCGAACAGGCTGGCTGCAAGAGAGTTTTCATAGTTTTCTCCCTATGTTACATGAATAAGAGCCAGTTTCTCATAGAAGACTTCCACAAAGCCATCCCTTCCCTTAAGTTGATATAATTTGTGTACTTTTCAGTCATGAACATTCCTAAACATTAGTACATTAGCATTTAGTGCTGTGTAATTTTGTACATGTTTACCTCATTTTGTTTTCTTTGCTTACTCTTTTCTGTTACCTGCATTGTTCACAGTATCCTGGTGGACCTGCTAACCAGTTTGTAAAGCAGCAGCAATACAATCCAAATGTACAGCAACAAGCAATGACGAACCCCAGCTACCTCACCCAGCAGCAGATGCGGCCAAGCATGAGACCTCAGTCAAATCCATATGTCAATCAGGGAGGACAGTACTATTCTCAGGGGCAGATGAATGGAACACCCCCACATCAAGCTCCTGCATATGAGCAGCAATATGGTGGTCCTCAGTATCCTCAACAAAACATGCAAGTACGTAGTAATTTAAAATAAACACATTAGCTGAAAATAATAAATTTCATTTAAATCTATGATTTGATATTAATCTAAAACTACAATGATTGTGCTTTTAACGTGCAAGCTAATTTTTTATCTTTAGTAATATGCTAAGTGCCTAAGGAATTCAGACTGGTTTATTTTTCTACTTAAATTATTTAAATTAGAATAAGCTAAATTAGTCCCACAATGTGAACACTATAATTACAGTCAAAAGTCGTTAATTCGGACACCCATAATTCGGAATGATCTATAATCCGGACATCAAAACTAAAAACTTTCTGCGCATGCACCACATTGACACATGCGCAGAGGCGTCCACGCGTGCGCGTAAGACCTTTTACGACTGCGCATATGAGTGTGCGCAAGTGCAGAATACGTTTTCGCGTGCGCATTTTATGTATAATGGACGTATAATCTAAAATTATCTATTTCAGTTAATGTTGATGATTGCGTTGTTCCTTAATTTTCGAATTGCATCCGGCTTATTATTTTTTGCAGACTGTAAGAGCAATTTTATAAAAGTAAGCTTAAACTTTCGATTATATCAAATAGAATTTCTGATATATATTTGTTAATATGTAAAGAACCTAAAGCGAAAGTATGTTTTGAAATCCGAAATCTGTTTATCAATTTCACGCACCTAATGAGTTGGAAGTTGATTTGTCAGCACTATCCTTATCTTCAGCGCAGATGTTTTTATTTCATTTGGCTTATAATTCCTTACCAAATGTAGTATTTCATCTCGATATGCTCCGTCTTTGATATGATTTAAAACAAGTTCCTCGTCATTATAATTCGCTTCCGATAGCAAAGAAAAGTGACAGAGGTTATTGAAAACAAAAAAATTTCGATTGACAAATTAGTCGGCAGAACTTTGTAACTGAACAAGAAATTATGTCTGTTTAATAGAATTAAAGAGAAAGTATTATCACATGAAACGAAGCAAAACTTAAACAACTTACATTGAAAGAAATGTTTAATAAAGTAAACAAATAAATATTAAGCTTTTTCTTTTTGCAAATTTTGATACCCTTTAGATCATAATTGTTCTTTATTTCATAAATTACGGTTTCATATTTTTAATTTTAGAATTTCTGCATGCCATCTTACGAGATTTAAACTGATGATCTATAATCCGGGAAAATCGATAATCCGGAATCGCCGAAGTCCCGACGAGTCCGAATTAACGACTTTTGACTGTATTGAAAATGTTTAAGACTAAACTAAGAAACATCTCTGCTTTGAAGGTAGCTTAATGTATTTAATATTTGTTATGTGCTAGCCTGTTCTTAAATATGAGTTTTTGAAATTTACGTACTAGAAAATTTAATAATGGTTTTAATGTAAAGGAATGTAAGACATATACACTGAAGAGCCAAAAAACCTGGTATTAGGCATACATATTGAAATAACAGAGGTATGGAGCCAATCATGGTAAAGCACAGCGGTTGATAGTGGGTATATAAGAACAACCAAGTGCCTGAAGTTGTTAGATTGGTTACTTGGCATCTCTTAGGTTGTGATAAAGTTTGGATTTTTGTGTACGACCATTTCGCGAGTGTGCCATGAATATTGGGAATCCGGTGAAACATCAAATATCTTGACGTCACTGTCATCAGGAAAAGCTCATTAAAGAACGGAACTAATAACAACTGACGAGAATCATTAAACATGACAACGTGTAACCTTTCCTCAAATTGCTGCAGATTTCCATGCTGGGGCATTAACAAGTGCCAGCGTGCGAACTGTTCAACAAACCATCATTGATATAGACTTTTGGAGCCGAAGGCCCACTAATTTACCATTGTTGAGTGTACAACACAAAGCTTAACGCCTGAGTCAGCCAATACTTCCTTTGATACTGTTGATGACTGTTGCCTTGTCTGACAAGTGTCATTTTCCAATTGTATCAGACGGATGGGCATGTACAAATGGAGACAACCTTATGAATTTATTTTTCATACATTTGAAGAGGGGACTGTTGCAGCTGGTGGAGGTTCTGTCATGGTATGGGCGTGTGCATTTGGCACCTGACAGAGATACAACTCTGTCAGGTGACAGATACATAAGCATCCTGTCCGAACACCTGCACCCATTCATATTCATTGTGCATTCCAATAAGATATGGACTTGAACATTTGCAACAGGATAATGCGATATCCCATACGTCAAGAGTTGCTACTGAGTGACTCCAGAACTATTCTGACTTTAGACATGCCCATTGACCACTAGATCCCCAGACATGAACACTATTGAGCATATCTGGGATGTCTTGGAATGTGCTGTTCTGCAGAGATCTGCACCAGCTTGCATTCCTATGGATTTGTGGATTACCTTGCAGGATTCATGGTGTGCATTGGCTCTAGTACACCTTCAGACATTAGTAAAGTCAATGCCACATTGTGTTGTGCAACTTCTGCATGCTCGTGGGGGGGAACCTACACATTATTAGGAATGTGTACCAGTTTTTTTTTTTTTTTTTTCTTCCTCTCTCTCTCTCTCTTTGGTGTACAGGTACAGTTTTTGGCCAAAAATACGGAAACATCCGAGGGAAGAATGAATTAATTTACTAATAATATAATAGTTATAGGAATTTATCACACTGATGGGCATCAAACAGATGGCAGTCGTTAACTCCTGCGAAGGGACAGACAATTGAGATCTCTGCCTTCTCCGGGATTCAAATCTGGGTCCTTGGGTACAGCATTCAGAGTCACAACAACTTTTTTGTCTGGGTGGCATTTACATAAATATAAATAATTAGTTCCATGTATGTTTTCTAACTGAAAACTGTGAAACATATAAAATGCCGTGGTTTGCAAAGCAAATATTTATTACTTAAATATGCAGAGATACACACAAAGTTACATGCAAGCAGAAATAAGTAGGTACAAACACTAGCAGAATAATACAAGTACAGGCAGAATAATACTAAGCAGCGATAAGCGGTTACAGAGGTCATATATATAACTTTATAACAGATCATGGTTTAACAAATCATAAACAAGACATAATAAATAACCAATCAAAAGTAACATACAAAATGAGATTTAAGTTTCAAAATAATTCGGACCTGGCTGAAAGCTAATGAATGTTTCGGACTTGATAGAAAGCTATACTTCCTTTTAACCAGTAAGAATGCAATTACAAATATCTCAACAAAAACATTTCTCATTTCTAGGAAATATTCTGTAGACAAAAGTCTGCAGTGCTTTTGAAGCAGTTAAAAAACATCTAGTTTCACCTTACAGTGTCAAAAGGAAATTATTTTGAAGTAGATGGAAACCGGAATTGAATAAATTTTATTAATTTATTTTTTTCTTAATTCCAGAAACTTTCCATTAATACTTCATGTAGTATCCAATAAGCAGGCATGAGTAGTAACCAGTATTATTGAGAATAATTTACTTTATTATTATTATTATTTTATGGTAATGATGTGTGCATTTTTGTTTTTAGCGAAACTTAAACTATCAGCCGCCCTCTATTCCTGGAAATCCTACACCTCCTTTAACTCCTGCCTCAGGAATACCGCCCTACTTATCTCCAAATCCTGATCTGAAGCCTACGTTTCCAGAAATGAAGCCATCCTTGCCTGCCCAAAGTAAGCATTCTTTTAGAATTCTGTTTTAAATTTTTTTCAGATTGTTATATTCTGTAATTTCAAAGCTATAACTTGTACAATTTAAACTGCAGATGATCTTCTGAAGTATATTTTTGACATTAACTGTGTGTTTAAATTAGTTTTTTAAAAAACAGCTTCTGTTTTGGTTAAGAGGCAAATTGTTAGAGATTCTAAAGATATTAATTCTTCCATATCATTTTATGGTTTCTGTCATTTTGTTTTAAAACTTTTCTGGTAAATGAGAAATTAAACATACCCTCTCCTCAAAAAATTGAGTAAAATGTTCTAAACAAACAATGGCATACAAAGGAAAAGTTATTAAATAATACAAAGGTGGAAAATAATTAGCGAATTATTTTATTTCAGGTCAAGAGAACGGGCTTTTAGTCACAGACTATATATTTCTACAGCAGTTTAGTAGTATTGTAGTATAGGATAAAAATAAAAAATAAAAGCTATTACTTTTTTTATGATTAATGAAAGTTACAGGATTCTATTTATTGGCTTTTAAAAGTTAGGGTGGAGAGTTTTAGTATTATTAAAAGGGAGAAATTACAGTTCTTTATTAGATACATGTTGAATAATTTTTTATGTAATATTGTTACTATGAAAGAGCATGTGCAAAATAGCAATTATCTCATTGTGTCTTAATTTTTATAGAAAATGTCCAGAAATGTTTTGGCCTATGCACTAGGAAGTCATTGCTTTTCCTGAGCTCAAAAAGTACACATACATTTCTTTACATTTAGATGAAATTTTAAGTGCATTGCAGGAAGCAGGTGGTGTCTGGGCCCTCTGGATTCTGTCCTGAAACCACGGAATTACCCTTGGTTGAAAACTTTTGGTATAGAGGCTTTGAAGAATTTGTACTATTGGCATGTTTCTGACAGTTTTTGTGCCTCCCCCAAAAAGTATTTTAAGATGTTTGAAAACGTCTTTCTTAATTTTGAATGACAAGGAAGTAATAGTCTTTTCAAAAAATAGTTATTTTCCCATGGGGTTCCCATTCCTCACCCAAACTTTAAATAATTTATAACTATTTTACTGAATTATATGTTGACCATTTTGGTCAAAATGCCTTTTGCCATTTTTGTGGTACTGGCATGATTACATTCTCATAAAAATTCTCATTTTTACTTACAAAAAACTGATTCAGTGGATTTTTTTGTCTTCTCATTTGAAATTAATGTTTTACTGTTTAAATGATTTTAAGAGTGGAATGAGTGATGAATGGAGGACAACATTCATTACAGCCATGATTGGTATGGTAACACATATCATCAAAGGTATAACGGCTTCCGTTGAGTTACCAGACTTGCATCAAATCTAGCATTATGTAACATTGTGCCTTTTATATTGGTCAATTTTGAATTTTCGTTGTTACATTTTTGTAAACAGTCCTTTTCTTATTGCCAGTTATGATGTGTTAGCAATTGGATAAAAATAAGCATTGTCTTAACATTTGAGGAACCAGTCACGGATGGCAATCTGATGGAGCAAATCTCTTGTGGAAGATTTGTGGAACTCGTATATCGAGCCTTCAGATAAAACTAAATCATTTCACATGATCATGAATGGCTATTGAATTTGGCTATTGTAATCTCATAACAGTTTCTCATGTTATTTTGCAATTGGCTTCAGTTACAATCTTTGTTTTCTTTTCGTGAACTTCATTTGGCTTTCCAGAATGAAGTTTTGCAAACAGGTTTTCCGCACAGGCATTCTGTTAGCCCATATTCTCCATCACCAAACAATTTTTTTTCTTGCTTGAACAACATTCTTATCTTTTCAGTTATAAAAAATATAGACGTTACTTTTGAGTTTTATGTTTGAAAGGAACGCTGGTGGGGGGGGGAGAGGGAATGCACAGAAGCTAACAAAATGTTTTACAAAAAAATCTTCAAGTGTCAAAATGTATGGTGACAATAAAGTTTAGAACTAAGATGGCTGGTTAAAAATACAATTAATCCCTTTGTGGATTAAAAAAAATTTTTTCAAACAATCTAATAACTAATATATAGGAAATATGTTAGACAGTATTAAGTGTCCATTTTTTATGACATTGTTAGAAAAAATAACAAGCATTAGAAATTGAACTTAACGTTTTTTTTTTTTTTTTTTGGAAAACTACCAGTTTAGTCAGGAATTTAATTCATTACCATTTATTGCTAATTTAACTATGATACAGTCTGTTGAATCATTTATATATTAAAATTCTTCATTTCTTAAATGCACTGTATTACTTTAGAGATCATTGTCATGACACAATTTTATCTTTTTAATTGCATATGTTAAAATATGAAAGCCTGCAATTAAAATTAAATTACCTGCATTTTGTTCTAGAAGATGATGAATTACGTCTTACCTTCCCCGTTCGTGATGGCGTCATCTTGAATCCTTTCCGTCTTGAGCATAATCTTGCTGTGAGCAACCATGTCTTTCATCTTAAACCTTCTGTACATCAAACATTAATGTGGCGTACAGATTTAGAGCTACAGTTAAAATGTTTCCATCATGAAGACAGACAGATGAACACTAACTGGCCTGCGTCTGTACAAGTATCTGTAAATGCAACTCCTCTTTGCATCGACAGGGGTGAAAACAAAACATCACACAAACCACTGTATTTAAAAGAAGTGTGCCAGCCGGGTCGAAATACCATTCAAATCACCGTCACCGCATGTTGTTGTGTAAGTTTTGATTATTAGTCTGTTAAACAGTTTATTTTTCTTAGATGTAATATGTCTGTTTAGGTGATTTTATTTATTTATATTGCTTTATAGCTGAAGTACATAAGGACCCTTTAATTTTTAAATGTTATTTTCTTTAAATATTTTAAGTTTGAAAATGTTATATTGAACTATGAATTTTCATGTTAATTGAAACGTAAAAGTTATAGTATGTTAGTTTTTTAATGTTTGCCGTGTATACTGTCTCTTGTATTTTGAAATAAGTATACTTAAGTTACAAGTACTAAATTTCATGGTATCCTAGACATTTAGCAACTGCAGAAGATGTTCAGATTTGGTTATTTAATTATGCCAAACACTTGAACGCTGTCTGCTTTAGAGTATGCATACATTTATGTTACTATCTACTGAAAGTGTAATATAGCTTTGTAACTAAATTACAAAAAACTAAAAATAAATAAATAAAATAAAATAAGAAAAATAGAAGCTGTTATAAAATTTACATATAATTAAACAATGAAATATAACATATTCATTTAACTAAGCAATATTGCTGAAAGAAATGCTTTCATATTTCATTAAAAATTAACCTGTGGTAAACTGAATATACTATGTCATAATTACTTGAAAGCATGCATGTATGCAATTTCTGATATAACATATATTCTTTATAAAATGATGTTTAATGATTAAGTTTATGAAATTGAATATTAGGGGGATTTAGGAATAACCACCTGCAAAAGTGTTTCATTACTTTGGGGGGGGGGAACATCCGCAAAAATGTTCCATTATGTTGGAGAAAATTTTGTAATTTACTGTAATTATATGATAGATTTGATGACCAGTAATATTTAGATTTATAAACAATGAAAATTAAAATTCCAAAACTGTAAGTTTTATAATATAAAGATTTAATGATTTCCATTTGGTTATAATATTACTGGTATTTATTCATTGTATGTCAAATATATAAATTAAAAATAATTTACCATTTTACAAACTGAAAATTTATGCTGTAAAGTTTAAATAATTATCTTTCTATTGGTATACAATTGAGTGAGAAACAGTTAGTAGTAGTATTATTGTATTAAAATTTTCATTATTTAGTAAATACAACTTTTTCTTACTGATCCATGTCTGACATTCAGGAATTGTTATATATTTTTCAAATGTGCTGGATATTCAGAGTTGACAAATTATTTAAGAGAAAACTTAATCGATCATGTGAGTGCAGAAAAAATCACCAGTTATTGTATTTTATTTCTTGTTAGCCCTAAGTAGGCAAGCCCAGAAGGGCTATTAATTGCATTTTGTCATTTTGCATCGAAAACTTTAAAACTTTGAATTACTTTTCAAATTATTGCCACCAACTATTATTGCCCTATATTATATTTAAAGAAATTAAAAAATGAAGAATCTGCATGAATGTATGTATGTATCTCTCATTGTGATAAAACAATGGAACCTAGAGCCATCATATTTTGAATAAGGTAATCTTTCATTGAATATGGGCATCTGGAAACCCAAATTTGGAATTTGTTTTATTATCTATTTCATATTTTATAAGGCATTTATGAGTTTTTGATTAAGATTAAGAGTTTTTGATAAGATATTTGAAATGGTACGATTTCAAAGCAAGCAATGACAACACTATATGGGGGATTTATGCCCAGCACGTGAGACTGTGTATCGGAGATTCTAAAGATATGCTCTTTTAAAATTATTTTGTAATATTCCTGTTGAATTGAATTTTATGGTTTAAGGACGAAGATCATTATATTTAATAAGTAAAGGTAACACAGAAAACGTTAAGAAAAACACCCCTTTGTGTGTAATTTATAAAATCCGAATGGTTACAGATTTTTAGTTTTATATTTTAATTTTGATTTTTTTTAAAAAAGTTATTTATTTAGATATTAATTTGACTTTGATGGGATTTTTTTTTAACAAGAAGAAATAATTTAAACCCCTTCAGTGCTTTAACGAGTCTGACTCCTGATGAAGATTTTGTCACAAATATAAACATCATGAGCCAGGCTTGTGAACAGAAAGCTGGTCCAAACATAAACATGAAGAGCCAGGCTGTGAAAAGAAACCTGTGCCAAACATAAACATCATGAGTGGGGCTCATGAACATTAACATCGTAATTTCAAGTAATGGAGATAAATGGCATGAGAATGGGTTAATAATAGTAACATATCTGATATTGTTTTAGTTTAATTATTCATAGTAATCTTTATTTATAAGTGAAATGTAGGGTAAGTCTGTACCTGTTGAACCTCTTGAGGACTCTATGAGTGATTATAACAGCTTGTCATGTAAATAATCAACATGCAGCTGGCTGCTTGTAATTCTCTTTTCCTAAATTGTGCAACTCTGAAGTGGGTAAATTGTTGGAACTTTCTCAAGAGTTAAGCTTTAGGTAATCTCTAAAATAGACAGCTGTGCTTTAGAATGATTCTTTTGTGATTTTTGTTTTTGAATCAGTTTACAAAATCCTATCATTTCATTTCAGTACTCTCACAGGCTACAAAAGACTTCTTTCATAAAAACTAAGGATGATGTCATTCGAAAGTTTCAAATGTTTGTGTTGGGTTGATGCAGAGTTTGCCAAAAGGCCTACTTGTTTTAAAAGCCATTTGAACCTTTTTGAATCCTTATTTCTTAAAATGAAGTTTCCTTTAACTGTTTTGCTTTTTGTGAAATAGACAAATTTGATTATTCAAAAATATAGTAAGGATTGAATTTTTAGTTATTATTTATTCAAAAATATAGTAAGGATTGAATATATTTCTATAGGCTATTATGACTTTTGTAACATTTTTGTTAATATATTGTTTCTGTTTGCAGTCCCACCTATTCCTGCTACAACTTGTCCATAGACCTACAGTCCGATCTGTTCTCCAAGGCCTTCTCAGGAAAAGGCTTCTCCCGGCAGACCACTGCATAACGAAAATAAAGAGGAACTTCACAAGTGTGGCTGCATCTGCCAGTAGTGCTTTAAATGGTGAAGATGGTGTCGAACAAACAGCAATTAAAGTTTCACTGAAATGTCCCATCACGTTTAAGAGGATCACATTGCCTGCTCGAGGGCAGGAATGTAAGCACATACAGGTAATAATTACAGTTTAAGGATCTGTTTAATTTTTTAGACCTATTGAATCACTTTGTAAAATGAGTGCAGTATTATAAAATTCGTTTTCATTCAACAATACTGACAGTTTATGATGTTTTTGTGATGTCTTTTGAAATAATCAATATGTTCATGTATATGATTTAAGGGTTTCGATCTGGAGTCTTACCTGCAGTTGAATAGTGAAAGAGGTGCCTGGAGATGTCCTGTTTGCAAGTGAGTTTTTGATTCTTATGTATGCAGATCAATAAATATAAAATTGCCCTGACTGGTTAATGTAACTATTGTATAGTTCTAGCATCTGTCATATGTCTCAGCCTCTAAATTATCATCTCTCTCTCCAAATGTAAATAAACAAATAAGTCAATGTAAATAAGCAAAATTTATCTGTCATAAAACTCAGTAAGTTAAATTTAATAACAGTTTTTATTCTGCAGTTTTCTGGCATCTAATTCCATACTGGCATTAGACGGCTGATAATTAGATTAGACATTTTACCAGAGCTGCTAAAGGAATACAAGCCATGTGCAGAGTTGCCAACTCTCCCGATTTTCGACCGCTCTCCTGCCAACCCGATTTACAATATATTTCTCCCGACTTTTTCTTATTCTTAATATTTCTCACGATTTTTATGGAACTTGGCTTAATACCTCGTTATATGAACAAAACAAACAAACAAAAAAAAAAAAAAAAAAGTGATTTTGGATTTTTGAAAGCAATTGGATTTTTTCTAGATTATATCTAAAACAAAACCTTGCGAATCAGATGAGAATTTCTGCTTTGTGAGTGAGAGCATACGTATCCAGAAACATCGTTCTCCAGTGGGCATCGAGGTCCACTGCGTGTCATCTGGCATATATTAGCCAATGAGCACAAAGCGAACTCAAGGCTGTTATTTGGATGTTCTTTCATTATTTCGTTCATCTTGTCCTGAGTTGTGTGAGTACACGTGCCTTTGGGAAATAGTGTTATAAATTGTTATCTTTTGTTATGTCTGCGAGAAAGGTGAAATACTGGTGTACATTTCAAAAATTGTACACTGTTGACTTTCCTTCCATTATTTCCTCAAGGAAATGTAATAAATTTGTGATGTGTACCGTCTGTAGTTGCGATTTTTCGATTTTGCATGGTGGAAGGGCGGATGTTCTCAACATGTGCATACACAAAAACACAAGGACAACATGAGTTGTTTTTAAAAAAAATGAAAAATTAAATTTTCTTTCATCAGAAACAAAGGACCAAAAAGTTATTAATGCAGAATGTCTGTTTCTCTGCTTTTTTACTGGAGCACAACCTGCAACTGAATGCATCAGATCACGCTGCAGCTTTATTTAGAAAAATGTTTCCCGATAGTGAAATCGCTACTCAAGAAATGGCGAAGGACACAAAGCATACCGAAATTACAATTGTTACCAAGAACATGGTGCAATTGTTAAAAAAGTGGGTTTGAAAATGGGTTAAATCTTCAGTTATTGATTGCATTAAACAGCTCTATTCTGCCTCTCTACGGATGGAAGCAATAATACCACTTCAAAACTGTATCCAATTGTTGTTTCTTTTTTTAATCTAGAGTCAACAATGAAGTGATTTTGCGTGCTAAAGTTGCTGATGTTTCTGCTCTAACAAATGCATCTTTTTCTGATATAAAGTACTTTTTTAACAGATTTCCTGTGTTACTTCATTTAGTCATGAAAGCTGATGATATTGATGTTGCCACTGAGATATGCAGGTGCGTTTTGCATTTACAATAGAAAACTTGGATGAAGTTATAAAATCAGCTAGGATTAAACCCCAGTGGAGTTTTTAATGGAAAACTGAAAGGTGCTGATGGAATTTTAAATATAGTGAAACTGCTAGAATATGTTAGCCATCTTGACAGTTCCCTATAGTAATGCAGAGTGTGAGAGGATTTTCAGTGTAGTTGCGAAAACAAGGACTAAATTTAGATCTAATATGTTAGTGATGACACATTAGAAAAGCTTTTATTAGCGAAAGCAGGCCTACATGGCAATAGCTATGAACAAATTATGAAGTTTCTTTCTTAACGAAAGCAAAATCTGCCAGTGTTCATAACATTTGTACGAAAAGATGCAAGTAATAAAAATGTTTTTTTATGTGTAAGGTATTTTTGTGTTGCTTGCATTTAAGACTTAGTAACTATTTAAAATTAATTCATTATTAAAAACTATATTTTTATCATTTAAAAAGTCTTTTTAACATTGTGAAAAATCTCCTGATTTCTTAAACAAAATCTCCTGATTTTTGAGTGTCATAGGTTGGCAAGTATGCATGTGGATTTTATATTATAGAGGAAAGTGGGCCGTTTTACAGAGTATTATGAGAACACACATTAATACATAACAGAGTTAATTAGTTTTAAGAAACTGTGAATTATTATTATTATTATTATTTCTGGAGGGGGAATATTTTTTGTCAGTAGTATAATATAGTGAAGTAGCATACCAGTATTTTGATAAAATTAATATTTCTTATGTAAGTTACTGGAATTTTTAGTAGAACCACCATGAGGGATAGTGTAAAAAATTCACCAGAAGTTATACTCTGTATTTTTGTGTTTACACTGTTATTCTAATACACAGAATATCTATATAAATATCTTCATAACAGTGTAAAAGTTAATTTTTTACATTATAATTTATTTATATTTTATGATGATTGATATAAAGTCTAAGTAATAATCTAACTAATTTTAGAATCTAAAGTTTTAATGTTTTTGTCCCTTACTCTGTAGTAAATCAGCCTTGTTAGAAGGTCTTGAGGTGGATCAGTACATATGGGGTATTTTGACAAACCTAAGCAGTACTGATGTGGAGGAGGTTACAATAGATGCTACTGCTAGCTGGAAACCCGTGTCAATGAAAGCAATCAAAGAAGAGCATGATGGAGGAGGTTAGTTAATGAGATTATTTGAAAGATATTGTATTAAAAATTTGATTTACAAATATATTAAAATAGTTCTGTAATCAGAATGCTATGAAGTGAATAACTGCAGTGATTTCATAACATTTTATAGATTTTATAAGTGATAAGTAAATTTATTGTGCATTGTGTGGCTGTATGTAAAGATGTTTAAGATGATTGATTAAATAGATGTAAAATGCATGCATTGTGAAGGATGATTTCTTAGATTTAGATACATATCTAGAAGTAATATTATATTCCAATTAAAGCAAGAGTATATGTTAATATTAGAATCCTTAACTTGTTACATCTTCATATCCGTACATGATTTTAATCCATTTTACTAGAAATATATGAACTGGAATTGTTGAATGTTTAAGTTTTCATATTGAAATATTTAAAATTTTAACATTCTACTTATCTGCTTCATTTCTTTAACATTCTAAGTAGAATTTAATTTAGTTTTTGACTTTAAAACTCAAAAATACAAATCCTTTCATTATTTTCACTATTTAGATATGTGCTCTGCAGCAAAGCGCTTCAAAGCCATGTCTCCAAACAGTATGACAATGCCAACAACCAGCACATGGGAGATGGGTCAAGGTCTTTCACCTTACTCAGCTCTGCCACCCCCTGATATGCAGAGTAAGCATAATTATATTATCCACCCAGGGTGTATTATTGTAATTGGTGAGAGTCGACTGCCGTGCCTTCGGGCTTGGGTTCGAATCCCGAATAAGGCATGGTTGTTTGTAACCGTATTTGAAGAATCGTGGCAATTAAAAATCTGTCTAAAAGTGAAGTACTGCTTAAGGAGAGAAATAAGATCCTTAAGATTCCATCCCTTTACTGTTTTCTGGATCAAAACTGAGATTATGTGGGGCAAAGTCCTGTTACTGTCACATATGATCAGAGCTTTTCATTGATGACAGATGCATACTCTAAATGCATTTTCTGCTGTAATAATCATTCATAATGATTTTCAGGTGGCTACAACTTTTGTGTAATGATTAATATTTCTTCTAACCATTATATGGCTTCATTTTGTGAAATTATGTTGAAACATTTCTAGACCACAAGTAGGGTTTCATTTTCATTATTTAAATGTCACTAGCAAATGAAATTTAGCCTTTACTGCTCGAAGGTTAAAAAAAGAATTTACTGTCCATTATGAGTTTTAATATTGATTATCTACTTTTTTGGTCAGCTTGTAAGTGCCTTTCTCAAAATAGTTGTCTAAATTAAAATTCATTTGAATACAAAGGATGATACAATTGTACTTGAAGGAATACATCTCTTCTCCTTAAAATTCTCAGCAAGTCTTGAGCAATAGTCAGTAATGAGAAAAAGATTTTTTTTAATTAAAAAAAAGGGGGGATTGTCTCTTAAATTGGAATTGGCAAATCAGCTTACCAAAGTTGTTTTTTTCTTTTTGTTTCTTTTTTTTTGGGGGGGGGGGGGAATGCAGGAAAAGTATCTTTGATTTTATGGAATGTATTTTTGATTTGGCTCGGAATGTTTTCAAATTAATTATGTGTGCTTTTGAATTTTTTAAAAAACAATTACATTTTTTTATTAAATCTATATAATGTTTCATTGTCATTCATTTCATATTTCATGAGTGCATTTTGTATAATTTTTAAATTAATTTACAATACAGTAAGCCTTTCATAAGTCAAGCTAATTCATAAACGAAGGAATGAAGCTTGCTCAGAAATATTGAACTGTAGAATTTGTAATTTATGTTAACTTTTCTCTGCAAGTTTAATTTTTTTAGCTGCTTTCAGCCTTGACTGTACTTACATTCATATATTTTTTACTGAGTCTGAATGATATTCTTTAGAAATAATGCTGAAATATGTGAGCATAAATAATGTTTCGTTAAAAATGCTGATAGTCCTTTTTCAGTTTCGTCATAAATTCACCTGACAACTATCCAAAAATTTCATATTAAAGAATTTGAATGTCTCTGAATCATTTTTAACCCCTTCTTGGTCGGCATTGCATCTCGCACGTTTGGCGTTTTTTTGCCCATAAGGTAAGGTTGCGATCCCACGAAGTTAAAAATTCCATCGTTGAAACTGAATTCATTGCTACTCATACATTGCTTTAAATTCTGCAATTATTTTTCTATTTCTGAATATTGCCAAGAGACACCACGACTAGTCCTAGTTTCCTCACAATTTTTGCAGAGATTTTCCGCCTTGAATATCTGTTATTGAATCTGTTATATCTGTTATCGTGTAATTGGTAGAATGTCAACTAAAAAAAATTCAAGATATTTTTTATATTTATAGCCATTTTTTTTTCATTAAGTAAACAAAAAAAAAATTTTTTTTTGATTAAGTATAAATAGTTTTGGTTTTGTGATAAATGTGGTTTTTGTGCTATGATGTCCAAGGCAGGTTGTAAAGCTGTATCCATTTTCTAAAGCATTTCTTACGTAATTTTAATAATTATTTTTATGTAGATTTTTATATTAAACACATGAAAGGAATAGAGTTAATAAATGTAATATGACATATTTTTTTAAAATTTAAAACTTGGGTGCATTTCAGGGAAACTGGTGATCAGTGGACAGGATATCACATATTTGAGCACCCGTAGGTCCATCAAAAACTGTCAAAAATATTTTGTATTTTCGAATTTAGAATAGAATATTAATTTTCAGCAATAAAAAAAGTGCTTTTTTCAAGTCAGAAATTCAGGGGGAAAAAATAAATAAATAAAATAAAAATAAAATCCAAATTCGACCTTCTGTTAGTGCATTTTTGTAAGGTGTGTGTGTGTTTTGTACCTGTGGAAAGAATATGTTAAAAATGTGTAGTATACATTTTTAATTTTATTATTCATTAAAAGGTAAGCACAAAACTATATGTTATACAATTTTTTTCCTTTCTTTTAGCATTGTCAAATGGTCCCATGTCTAATGGACCAATGTTATCAAATGGAGTAAATTATGGAAGTGCATCAAGTGGTTTTGATTTCCATTCTTCGGCTTCAGATTTTAGTAGTCCTCTTTCTCATTTAAATGAAAGTGTTTCATCATTAGATCCTCTTGCTGCGATGGAAAAGTCCTTAATTCACCATGAGCAGGTAATTGAATTTATGAAAGTGATCAAACTAATAATGCTGTTAAATATTATTAGTAATATTTGTAATATTAAATTAACCCCTTGAGATACAAATAAAATAATGTGTCCGAAAAATACCTTTTAATGTGGCTCAGGTGTGGACACTCGCGTGCAATCTTAGAAACAGAATGTTTTATTTTCAAATTTACATTGCCATATAACAATAATAACATCCTGCATGGTGTTGACCAAAGATAATTCGTGATGTCTCAGAAATGTCAAAGTCTACAGTGGCACATGAAAGGAATGACATCTCCTGAATGTCATTCCTTTCATATGATTTAATATATAATTTATTATTTTTCATATAATTTAATAAAAATATTTAATGAAAGGACAATATATTTTCTTTTCATGATTTAAAAGCTATTCTTAACATTGCATTTCTAGGGAAATTTGTGAAAAAAATTTGTTCTTTTTTACAGTAGTTTAAAATTTCATTATTTTATTTAAATTATTAACTTTTGATATGTAAATTAGTAATTTTTTAATATGTTTTCAAGAAAGTAATTCACATAAGCATTATGTTGTCTAAAATTTGAGCAAGAATATTTGGAAGCTTTGTACCTAAAATTAACTTATTTAGATCTTGAGGCAAAAGGCTGTTTTAGAAAAAAATCTTTATCGATGTTTTGTTTTTTTTTTTTTTTTTTTTTTTTACAATATAATTATTGTATAGTATGGCTAACAAAGTGAAATTTTTCCATATCGGATTTTTTAAAATTAATGGTGCTTACGAAGATGTTGAGTATTCACATTTACTTAGTTAAATCTAATGTGTATAAGTAATAATTTATGATTCTGGAAGAAATGTCTATTTGAGAAATTTTTAGGTAATCAGAGTTAGTTATGCAGACATTATCTTAAGTCAATAAAATCTTGAATCAGAAAATATAAAATTACTAAATATTTTTATAGCATGGAGAAGCATTCTATATCCATTAGATTCGCAAAAAATTTAGTGTGAGCATTAAAATGTCTTAATAAAATTAATGTATGCCATGGGATATAAAATAAAGTCAAAAGTCGTTAATCCGGACTCGTCGGGACTTCGGCGATTCCGGATTATCGATTTTTCCGGATTATAGATCATCAGTTTAAATCTGGTAAGATGGCATGCGAAATTATAAAATTAAAAATATGAAACCGTAATTTATGAAAATAAAGAACAATTATGATCTAAAGGGTATCAAAATTTACAAAAAAAAAAAAAAAAAAGCTTAATATTTATTTGTTTACTTTATTAAACATTTCTTTCAATGTAAGTTGTTTTAAGTTTTGCTTCGTTTTATGTGATAATACTTCTCTTTAATTCTATAAACAGGACATAATTTCTTGTTCAGTTACAAAGTTTTCCGCTGTTCAAGTCCTATAATTGCTGTGTCGAGAAAACCGACTAATTTGTCAATCGAAATTTTTTTCGTTTTCAATAACCTCTGTCACTTTTTCTTCGCTATCGGAAGCGAATTATAATGACGAGGAATTTGTTTTAAATCATATCAAGACGGACATATCGATGAATCTACATGAAATATACAATTAAGTAAGGAATTATAAGCCAAATAAAATAAAAACATCTGCCCTGAAGATAAGGATAGTGCTGACATAATTCCAATTCATTACATTCCGCCGCGCCCCCCTCCCCGCCGAGCAGCGTGAATTGATAAACAGATTTCGGATTTCAAACTACTTTCCTTTAGATTCCTTTTACATGTACAATATATATCGAAATTCTATTTGATATAATCGAAAGTAAGCTTACTTTTATAAAATTGCTCAAAGTCTGCAAAAAATAATAAGCCGATCAATTCGAAGATTAAGGAACAACGCAATCTCAACATTAACTGAA